AAAAGGAAGTGTTGTAGTACATTAACAGAGGCATTTTCAAGGACAGTCTATTTGTTCAGCCCCCAAAGAACGACTGCAGGAAGGTGACTTCGCGAAACATTCAAGAATTAATCCCTATCTGATGGCAAGATTCTTCTCTAGTCATTTTAGGCATCAGACCTCTTTGATTAAATGTCTCTTCGGGATCACGTGGCAGCAATTGTGTTTAGATTGCCTTTAATTCTGAGAAACAAATGACAAATGCAACATTTTCAGAGCAATTTAGGGAACAATCAAGAGAAGGAAAAGATGAGGTTTAAAATTAATATCCGGGTTTGCAAAGAAGTCGAAAAGACAAAGAAAGAGGAAAGTTAGAGGCTGTTCGAAGTTGCAACAACACTGAAAAAAGTGACTTATGACCGCTCTTCACACTTACGACCGTTGTAGCGTTCCCATGGTAACACAGTCAACGTTTGGGTACTTAGCATCTGGCAGGTATTTATGATGGTTGCACTGTCTCGGGGTCCTGTGATCACCATTTGTAACCTTCTCAACTGGCTTAGATTTGTTTAATGACTGCATGGTTTACTTAACAACTGCAGTGATTTGCTTAACAATTGTGGCCAAAAAACAGGTCATGAGATGGGGCAAAAATCACTTAACAACTGCCTTGATTAAAAACAAAAAAAATTGAAGCTCAATTGTAGTCGTTAAGTCGAGAACTACCTGTGTTTGGTCCATTTTTGTTGTTCACTATAGGGATGTCTACAAGATGGAGGGTGTGCCAGTGGGATCAAAGCCCCACCCCTTTTGTTTATGCAAATAGAAAATAGGTGGGGCTTGCATGACAATGCCAAGCTCATCATCTTCTCTGTTTTGACCCCTCCCTTATAGATGCTACCATGGAGCTAGTGTGGATGGTTTATTGGGGTTTTATAAGTGTTGTGAATTGCCAAGAATTGCTGTAGATACGGCTATATGCTGAAATCTAGTAAATTAATAATGGCACACCTTCCTCCAAATATTTTAACAATGGGAATTGTTTTTGGAGGATTATTGAGAACTATCTCAACTTTTTTTTTTCAGGTATCATACCTTGGTAACAACATCTTTGGTTGTACAGACCATGCCAGAATGTCCGATAAATTAACAGGATATCTGCAGGGATGGTATTTGGAAGTCAAAGTAACGGGCCCAATTATGTGATCAAAGATTTTCCCCTTTTCACATCTCATATGGACATCACTGCTAATTGATATTTTTGATCTTTTCCAGAGTATTATTTTGATAAAATTTACTATCTTCTTCTGGATTTTTTAAATTTTTATTCCACTTTTATTATTTTGTAAGTAACTCAAGGCAGCAAACATAATTAATACTCCTTCCTACTCCCATTTTCCCCTCAACAACCCTGCAAGGCAGTTGGACCGAGGGAAAGTTACTGGCCCAAAGTTACTCAATTGGCTTTCATCCTAAAGCGGGACTAGAATTCAGAATCTCCTGGTGATTGGCCCAAAGACACCTAGCTAGCTTTCATGACTAAGGCGGGAGTACAACTCAGATTCGTCTAACAATTGGTCCAAAGTCATGCAGCCAACTTTCATTCCTAAGGCAGAAGTAGAACTCAGAACTCTGATGATTGGCCCAAAGTCACCTAGTCGACTTTCATATCTAAGGTAGGACTAGAACTCACCATCTCTTTCTAGGCCAGCTCCTAAACCACTATACCAAATGAAAAAAAAAGTGTATATAATTATATACCTTCATTCCACTACTCTTGTGTTTAAAAGGTGGACAGAAATCAATTGCAGAGGCTCTCACTTAAAATTTAATTAAAAATACTATAGTCCTTAAATGGTTATCAAAGAACATCAAAGAAGGAAATGAGACTTACTTTCTCCCCCCTTTCTCCTTTTGGACCAGGCAGCCCCTGGAGGAAACACAAAAACATTATTATCTTCAAACTATAAATAAAAAAATAATTATTATATGTATCTGCACCTTGATAAAAGATCTCCTGTAGCTTTTAAGGTTTGCTCCTTCTCTGGAAGAAAAATGTTTTCTTATAGATAACAGGAACATCCCCAGGTATAAAAATGCTGGGTCAAAAATATAATTTATTTCCTTATATAGTATTATGCACACGGATAGCTGCTTTGCAGAGGAAAAAAAAAAGAAAAAAAAACATGAATTGCTAAGGGCGTCTTCCACATTGAATTCTGTATGGGAGTAAAAGTACGGTATCAAGGTATCAATAGCTGGATCTCGCCCCTCCTCTGCCAATCCACTTCTTTTTGGAAATCCCTCTGCAGTTCTGCATTTGTGCATACAATCTGCAAGCGACACCTGAGTCTAAACAAAACATTACAATACCAATAAAGGAGAATATTTCTAGTTCAGGGTTGAAATTAGGGGGTCCTTGGTGCTCTCTGAGCTTGGTTGCTTTCTTGCAGACGTTTCATTACCGAGCTAGCTAACACCATCAATGTTAGAAGGAAGTGGCTGTTGTGCAGAGGAGGAGGAGGAGACTGTGGAGTCCTTAGTGTTCTCCAAGCCTGGTTGTTTTCTTGCAGATGTTTCATTAACCAAACTAGATAATATTATCAGTGGTAGAAGGAAGGAATGTTTGTGGAGAGGTGGAGAATTTTGGCCTCAGTTGTGGTCGTAAGTCAAGGACTATCATTAGCCAGAGTAATAAAGATGTGAAATAACAATTATGGATGTCAACTTGTAAAACATGCCCATGCTGGTTTCCAAGTTGCCATAAGAAAGAGGGGTGGGGAGAACCCTGGAGGAGCATACGGCAAATGAACTCAGAAGCACATTCCCAGCTTATCTCACAAAGATTGTAACTGAGGCAACCGGTGGGCGCGAAAATCCACTATTGGAGAATATGATTGATGACACCTAGCCATGAATGTGTTCAGTTGGAAAATCTGAATTATGATACACCCAGAGGGGTGGGGGTGGGGGGGAAACAGGATTATAGATTATTATAAATTACATATCTCAGAGTCGGCTTCATAGAGATCATGCCAGTATGTTGCTTCTAATACATCCTTTGAAGTTTTTTGAAGCTTGGCTCGAGGCTCATGATTTAATTAGGGCAATCGCTGGAATCCTGATAATGGAAATTTACCACTTCAAATATTGATTTATTTGAGTTAAATGAGCTATTTCCACTTATTGGGTGACTTGGACTTACAATGCACCTGTTTCTAGAGTCTTGGAAGAGATAGTGGTATTTGGAAGTGTGGTAAGACTGCACTTGGAATACTGCAAGGAGTTTTGGTCATCACAATATAAAAAGAAACGTTGAGGCTCTAGAAAGAATGCAGAGAAGAACAATAAACATGATTATGGAACTGGAGGCTAAAACATATGAAGAACGCTTGCAGGAAGTGGGTATGTCTAACTTAATGAAAAGAAGGACTAGGGGTAACATGATGGCAATGTTACAATATTTGAGGGGCTGTCACAGAAAAGAGGGAGTTAACCTATTCTTCAAAGTACCTGAAGGCAGGGAAAGAAACAATGGATGGAAACTAATCAAGGATAAATCCAACTTAGAAATAAGGAGAAATTTCCTGACAGTTAAGAACAATTAATCAGTGGAACTGGTTGCCTCCAGAAGTTGTGAATGATCCAACATTGGAGGTTTTTAAGAAGGGTTTGGACAAGCACTTGTCTGGAATGTATATAAGTCTCCTGCTTGATAGGGGGTTGGACTAGAAGACCTCCAGGGTCTCTTCCAACTTTGTTATTCTGTTATTCTATTATAGTATTCTGTTATGTCTATCTGTAGGGACGCAGTGGCTCAGTGGCTAAGATGCTGAGCTTGTCGATCAGAAAGTCGGCAGTTAGGCGGTTCAAATCCCTAGCACCACATAATGGAGTGAGCTCCCATTACTTGTCCCAGCTTCTGCCAACTTAGCAGTTCGAACGCAGGTAAAAAATGCAAGTAGAAAAATAGGGACCACTTTGGTGGGAAGGTAACAGCGTTCCATGCACCTTCAGCGTTTAGTCATGCCAGCCACGGAGACGTCTTCGGACAGTGACCACGGAGATGTCTTCAGACAGTGGTGGCTCTTCAGCTTTGTAACGGAGATGAGCATTGCCCCCAAGAGCTGGAAATGACTAGCACATATGTGTGAGAAGAATCTTTACCTTTACCTATGGCTATCTGTGACCGTGAAATCAAATGAACAGGTCTTGAGTATTCTTAATTGCAGTGAGTAACAGTGAGGGGGGTGGGTGAAGCCTTACCGTGGGTCCGACTTCTCCTGGGGGGCCTTTGTCTCCAGGGTTACCCCGGGCCCCTGCTAAGCCTTGGAATCCCTGAGGGCAGAAAGAAGAGACATAATCAGCTCCTTGAGGTTCAAGGGAATCTAGCAGAATTAGCTTGCCAAAAGCAGAAGGGGGGAAAATTACAGACTCAGATTTATTTCCTAGCTGGGAAAGAATATTAAAAGAGTACATTGTACATGAGTTATGTTTCCCTCATTTCCCATTAATATCATAATTTAGGGGATAGAACAGTAGACTAACAGTGTTTCTTCTAATGATGCTTTGGGAAATCTTCCATATTCCCTTTCTAATAGCTTCATTGTGTAGGGGTGCTTTTTACTTTTTTATTTTTAGAAAATTGGTGTCTTAGTGTCCGTTTTGACTCCTAGTGGCTGCCTGGAAATTTCCTGCCATTTTCATAGCAAAGTTTTTGAAAGTGGCTTCTTCCTAGAGCTAATAGAATGACTGGCCCAAGATCACCCAGCTGCTTCCTGTCTAAGGCGGGACTAGAACACAGCATCTTCTTAGTGATTGGCCCAAAGTCACCCAGCCAGCTTTCATGCCTAAGGCATGAAATAGATGAGAACTTACCATGGGACATTAGTATTCAACTGCTTTAAAACTCATTGAAAACTCAATGCATTTTGATGCAAAACATTTGTCCCAGTACTCATTGTTTGTTTAGTACTCAATGCACAAGCTAGAACATGGAGCTGTCAGCTACCTTGTGACTCACTACATTATTCCTTATGGGAAAAATTGGTTTGGTACTCAGCATTTTTACTACTCATCGCACCTCCCGGAACCAGTTAAAAATGAGTACCGAGGTACCACTGTACAATCTCCTGGTGACTGGCCCAAGATCATCCAGCCAGCTTTCATGCCTAACATGGGACTAGAACTCAGTCTCCTACTTTCTAGCCTGATGCCTTCACTGCTACATCAAAATGGCTCTTGTGCGTGATAACCTATCATACTAGTGATTCCTTTTCCTTTTTCTCCTTGGCTTTCTCTTCTACTTCTCATCTATTTTTTTTTTACATTTCTTTCCCTCTGTCTGAAGGGCAAAATAAGAAGATATCCAATTGCCTACTTTGCTGATGTAAGGAAGCAGAAAATACCTCAATAATCCAGAAACTTTTAGATACCAACCCAGGTTTTTGAATGTTCTCAAAATTGACCACCAGCTGGTTATCCCCCACTCTTTGCCAAGCAGCTACCAAAAGCGAATAGCCCAGTTGCTGAATAGCAATGAAAGCATACAGAATGTGAAGCTTGCTTTCCCATTCTTCCTAGCCCAAGGGAACTCTGCTGGTAGCAGCTTTTTGGAATGGGGTTGTTTCATTCTGGAATGGACATTAATTTCCACTTGACTGAAATTGCTCACCCGTGGTCCTGGAGGCCCTGGTGGTCCAGCTGCTCCTTCAAGTCCTCGAACACCCTGGAAGCATATTTATTAACAGAAGAGAGTATTTGTAGCCCAGGGGGGCTTCTCTGGGCTCTCTAAGCTTAGTTGTTTCTTTGCAGACATTTCATTAGCAAATTAGGTATCATGATCAGCGCTAGAAGGGTTTGCTCTCTGTCACTGTTGGTGGGAGTGTTCTTGATGGCTACTTGATTAGGGTATTGTTTATTGTTTGATTGTTTGTCTGAGCTGGTACTTCTGTCAACTCATAAAACATTTCTATGCTTGTTTTAGTAGTTGCCATAAAAAAGGGGGGCAGGAAGGAAATCTGGAAGAGCAGTGCAGCAGTTTGGAAGTGAAAGTACATTCCAACTCTTATCTTTAAAAGATTGTAACTAAAATACCAGAGATTTTGCCTGGAATATATTTAATTTGGAGAACATGAATGGTGTGACACCCAGCCCGTGAATGTGCTCAATTGGAGAATCTGGTTTATGAGACACCCAGGGGGTAGGGGAGAAACAGGGTCACAGGTGACTGTAAATGATGTATGTCAAAGTTGGCTTGATACAGGGCAGTGCCAGTGTATTGCCTCTAATGAATCCTTTGAAGTTTTTTTTATGTTTGGCTCAAGAATCATGGTTTAATTAAGAGTGATTGCTGGAATCCTGACAACTTCCTTGATTGGAGTATTGTTTACTGATTGATTGTTGGGCTAGTATTAAACAAGCAAGCACTGGAGCTCAAAGCTCCAGACATATCACAAGAAGGCAAAATCATGAAACTGCTTCTCACGTACTTTGGCCATGGCATGAGGGGGAATTCACTGGAGAAAGCAATTGTGTTTGGAAGAATTAGCGGGAAAGGGAAACCAGGGCATCAAAGAACACCATGGCTGGACGCCATCAAAGCTGACACCAGCCAGAGCATATAACAACTCAGAGAAGTAATGCAAGATCAGAAGATGTGGAGAGACTACCTGACCCATAGAATCGCCAAAAATTGGACGTGACTGAATGGATAACCTCATCAACAAGATTTTATCAGGTAGACCAGAGAGGAAACATAGCCATATAAGAATAATTCTATTTTATTGTAAAGCTACATTAATAGAATCTTGTAAGTCTGAAAATACAGATCTCTTGCTGTCTGACTTACAGCCTGAGAAACTAGGGAAGGTACCTACTGAAATTCTTTCTCCTCCCATTATACAACGGAGGGCTATGCCCTCTCTTATTTAACCATAGGCAGTATCCCTTAGCCCAAGGGTCTTCAAACTTGGCAAGTTTAAGACTTGTGGACTTCAACTCCCAGAATTCCTGAGCTAACATGACTGGAGGAGGAATTCTGGGAGTTGGAAATCCCCAAGTCTTAAAGCTGTCAAGTTTGAAGACCCCTGTCCTACCCTGTCTCCCAAGATCTTTCCCACATGGCTTTTACAGGTGGCAGGGAATTCTGGGAGCTGTAGCATCCATTGTAGCATCACAAGCAGGGTATCAGCTTGTGGTAGCTTGAATTAACAGGAAGAGCTAATTTAATATTAGATGCTTTCTGGATATGACAGAAAGGTTTGCAGGTTCAAAGTGGTTTTTTCTCCTGCCCCACTCCACATTAGATTGCATGACTAGAGGGACTTTAATCTAGCTAATCTCAGCAGGTAACATCACGTGGTTGACCATACACAGGTGGTAGAATTAGGGCTAAAGAATCTGTGTAATGGAAAGAAGGACTCGGGGTGTCATGATAACAGAGTTCCAATATCTAAGGGGCTGCCAAAAAGAAGGGGGAGTCAACCTATTCTCCAAAGCACCTGGAGGCAGGATAAGGAGCAATGGATGAAAAATAATCAAGGAGAGAAGCAACCTAGGACTAAAGAAAAAATTCTGGACAGTTAGAACAATTAATCAATGGAATGGTTTGCCTCCAGAAGTTGTGAATGCTCCAACATTTGAAGTTTTTAAGAAGATATTGGACAATCATTTGTCTAAAATGGTATAGGGGCCTCCTTGAGTAGGAGGGTGGACTAGATGACCTTCAAGGACTTTCCAACTCTGTTATTCTGCTATTCTGTTGACATGGATGGGGGATCACCAGACTGTTGACCAAGGGTGTCAAACTCGAATCATCACGGGACTTTTTTCCCCTTTGCTAAACTGGGTGTGGCCGTGATGCATCTGGACCACGGGCCGGGAGTTTGACAGTCCTGCTGTAGACAAAGGAGCTGAAAAACTATCCCAGAAAAAGACATCAACAAACCATGTTTAGAATGATATTGTTCTGACCAAGGCTTCCTGAGGCAGTAACAATCACACGCTTAGTCCCAAAAATGCTCTTTTTATTTCAACGGCTGTGAATTATATTCATTCACAGGCCATAATGAGTCCCAAACAATTTGTGAATAGTCCAACAGAAGTCTGCCACAGTCTTTTCAGGATAAGGCTAATAAGCACCCACCTTTACCTCCCTTGAAATGCTGCCAACAACTAAATTGCCAATTAACTGTACAAGGCCAAACAAAGCTTCAGAGTTTAAACTTAAACCAATCAAAACAAGCAAAGTTGCTTCCTGCAAAGGCTCATGTCCCTTTGCTCTTCCTTTATCTCTTATGGAAGGGGCCAATCATCTCCAAGCCTTACTCCCGAGTCACCCCTTTTGTCTTAACTGTTTTTGCCTTCTGGCAGCTCTGTGCAAGCGCGGACTGGGAATAGGCTCCCTCTGTTCCTCTGCCTTGCTGATATCAGATTCTGGGGGCTCCAGAGTCAGCACATAACTCTCAGATGGCCCTGGCCCCATTTCTGTGTCAGACGCAGATCCCTCGTCCGAGCCCTCCCCAGATTTCAGGACTGGACCATGTTCCTCCCCACTGTCCGACTCTGTTTCCAGCTCCACAGGCCGCCAGCAGACCACAACAGATATCACCAAAACTACATGGACATAACTGTGAAGGTCTGGAGGTTGAGCAAACTTAAGGAAATAAGTTTTACCTTTGATCCTTGAGGGCCATCTTTACCTGCTGCTCCCTGGAGACCCATCATACCCTGTAGACAAGCAGAGGTCTGATTTAGAAGGTACATTCCATGCCAAAGCAATGATGAGTTCTTAGCTACAGGTTGTAGCTTGACTTAGCTTTGACTTATAACCAAACTTGAGTCTAAAATTTCTATTGCTAAGCAAAGGCAATTGTTAAGTGAGATTTGCCCCCATTGTATATACTTTCTTGCCCCCGTTAAGTGAATCACACTGCAGTTGTTAAGTTAGTCACATGGTTGTTAAGTGAATCTGGCTTCCCCATTGACTTTGCTTGTCAGAAGGTGATCACATGACAGGCAATGCAACCGTCATAAATACGAGTCAGTTGCCAAGGATCCAAATCTTGATAATGTGATTATGGGGATGCCACAATGGTCATAAGCATGAAAACTGGTCAAAAGTCACTTTTTTCAGTGCTGTTGTAACATTAGTCACTAAAAAAATGGCTATAAGTCAAGGACTATCTGTTTTTGGACCCACATCTTATGCTTTTATTTATCAAAGCAAATAACTGATACTTGCTTTAATAAATAAAATATTTTGTTTTCCTCAATTCAAAAGGAATAAATCAATGTACCACACCACACACACACACACACACACACACACACACACACCAGAGACACAAACAGACACAAAGACATATGATATATTTTAGAGATTCTTCTAACTCATACCCATCTATGTATCTAAACAAGTTTGGTTGCAGAATAGAACCTGGGGTGCTCACACTGCAGCATTTGTCAAAAGGGCCCAACAGAGATTATACTACCTGAGACTTCTTAGGAGCCAACAACTGAATGAAAAACTGCTGGTGACCTTATACCGCTGTACCAGAGAGAGTATCTTAACTTACTGCACCTCTGTATGGTTTGCCAATTGCACAGGGGCAGATAGGACAGCACTCCAGAGGGTTAACGTCATTGCCCAGAGGATCATGGGTTGTCCTCTCCCCTCTTTGGAAGAACTTTATAGCTCCTGCTGCCTTAAGAAAGTTCAAAACATTCTCAAAGATCCATCTCATCCTGGGAACCCCTTTTTTTTAACTATTACCATCTGGCAGATGGTACAGGACAATAATAAAAACAAGGACAAATAGGCTGAAAAGCAGCTTCTATCCCAGGGCAGTAGCTCTGTTGAATTCTGCTGTCTAGTACACTGAAGATGGTATTTAATTTCGTTGTACAATGTGCAATGACAACAAAGTAAAGCATACTAAACTAAACTAGAAGAGAGCCTTCTTGAAAATGTCAGATTGAATAAGAATGTTTTTTTTTAGCCTGCAGCCAAGTCTCTTTGAATCTGTGGGTGGCTATGAGATAGAATGACCAAATTAAATGCTGGAAGGGACACTTGGGCACCTATTCTGGGTAGATGTCTTAATTAAAACTTCACAGGCAGATGGCTGATGTCTTCACTATTAGCTTCTACTCTAAAGCATCCCATGAAGGACAGCCTATCTCCTCTCTGAGTCATTGGTTCCACCGTCAAATTGTTTTGTTGGGAAGTAGCTCAGAATTTGCCTCCCAGATCAAGGGACAACCAAAGAACGCAAATGAAGCACTCTCTCATTGTTTTGTTTTAATTGTTTTAATGGATGGACGCGATCACTGAACCGGTTGTTATACTGGTGGAATCCAACCCCTGATAGTAACCATCATAAATATGAGTCGTGTCCAGAGTTTTGCAGCGTTAATTCGGTGCCAGAAAAGCAAACACAGATAGCTGATGCTTCATTTAACGTCTTTGTAAACATAATAGGTAAATTTTACAAACCAGTTGTAGATTTCTCCAACATGGAGCAAACTCAAACAGAAGCAGTATTTCAGTAGCTCAGAAGCAGACATCAGTTTCACTTTAGTTCAGCAAGCAAGCAGAGGAGAGAAGCAGTTTCATTTCAATAAACAGACTCAGAGCTTAAGATAGCTTCAGAACTGCAGAGCTTAATATAGAACCACTCCTAGGCTACTTCTAGTTTCAGTTTCCAGCCTAGGCTATATTTAGTTTCAGTTTCCAAACTGTCCTCATTGGCTGATTTAGTTGCTATGCCTATTCATTGGCTGACCTTGTTACCAAGCTCTATTCCAGTTCATGAATATACTGACAAGTCAGTTGCCAAGTGTCTGATTTTGATCACATGACCTAGCTGCAAAGTCATAAGTGTGAAAAATGGTCATAAATCAGATTTTTTTCAAGGGATTTTTTTTTTTTGTAATTTCGAGCAGGCACTAAACAAAACATTGGGAGTCAAGGACTACCTGTATCAACATATAGGTTCATACAGGTATGTAAGTTTTAGAAATGTGAACCAGAAAAAATCAACATTCCAATGCAAAATAAAAAAAAACCTGTTTCTCCTAGAAACAGAATTGATGCAGTTTAATTTTAAGAACTGCCATCTCTTCTAAAAATAACCCAACGTTTCTCCAAATAAAGGCACTATAATATACGTTTAATCTTTTTTAAAAAAAAAATTCAGGAGAACATCTCAGAAGTGAGAACAAGGAAAATAGAGTTGTCGAATTCAGTTCTCTTGGGACAACATCATGCCAGCTTTCTTTTAAAGCTTCATCCATCTGCAAAAAATCTCCATAATCCTATTGCTGTGACTAGACTTCCAAAGAAATGTCCAGTTATATATTACACAGCAAAACAAGCTAAGCGTCAACTCATAAAACATTTTGTATACACGTTTTATAGTTAACAACAGAAAGAAGGGGGGGCGGAGTTTCAAAGAGCAGGCAACAGTGTGGAATTGAAAGTACATTCCATTCATATTTTCTTCAAGCACTGATTAGATGGCTGAAGCTTCTGCCATGAAAAAATCTAATTGGAGAGCATGATTGATGACTCTTGACTATGGACGTTTTTTGTTGGATGATACACCCAGAGGGGTGGGGGGGAGGAAGCAGGATCAAGGGTGACAGTGAATTACATATCTCAGAGTTGGCTACGCCCAGGTTAGTGACGGACGTAGAATGTTAACTTCAACTAAATCCTCTTTAGTTTTGGGAGTGTGGCTCGAGGCTCATGATTTAATTGGAGTAACTGCCGGAATCCTGACACTAAGATGCATAGACTATGGTTTTGACAAAAAAAACACCCTGCTTAAAAACAAATAAATCATCAAAAATGATCCAAATAGAAATATGCAACACAGGTAGTTCTTGACTTACAACAGTTCATTTAGTGAGCATTTGAAGTTATAACGTCATTGAAAAAAGTGACTTGTGACTGTTTTTCACACTCAGGACCATTGCAGCATCCATGTGGTCATGGGATCAAAATTCAGACTCTTGGCAACTGACTCGTATTTATGACCATTGCAGTGTCCTGGGGTTACGTGATCACCTTTTGCGAACTTTTTGGCAAGCAAAATTGATGGAGAAGTCAGATTCACTTAACAACTGTGTTACTAACTGAGTAGCTGCAGTAATTCTTTTGACAATCGTTGCAAGAAAAAACGTAAAATGGTGCCTAACAACTGTCTTGCTTAGCAGCAGAAATTTTGGGCTCAATTGTGGTCATAAGTCATCTTTAGTCACAGATGTCATGTATGAACATATTTAAGTAGCAATTAGCAGGAAAAAAGGATGCAGAGAAAAGGAAGGGAGTTTTCTAGAAAGCCTTTATTTATCCGTTTTGCTTTTTTTTTTAAAAAAATTGTTTTTATAACTATGATGTTTTCATTTCAACCTTTCCACTTGAGTGAAGTTTATTTTATGTATGTACATCTATTCTATCTCTGTTTTTTTATTAGTGGTTGTATTCAATTTTAAAAAAAAAAAATAGGGGAAAAAGAAACCTCTAATAATTAATGTTTGCCAAGTCCTGTTGGCGTTGACAGAATAAATGATTTCAACAGAAGAGAAAATACGTAGCTCAGGATTGAACTTTGGAAACCTTGGTGCTCTCTGAGCTTGGTTGTTTGCTTGCAGACATTTTGTTAGCTAACTAGGACAATGTTAGCTAGTTGAGCAATGTAACATCTGCAGGCAAGCAAACCAAGTTCAGAAAACATCAAGGGCTCCATATATATTATTTATTAAAAGCAACCATAAGAAATTCCCAGATAAGATGAAAAGACATTTCAGATGTCCTAGAGGTGCTTTTTTTCAAAAGGCAACTGGACTTTCTTTGTTTTTCCTTGAAGATGTTTCATTTCTCATCCAAGAAGCTTCTTCAGTTCTGACTGAATGGTGGAAGATGGAAGGATTTATATTCCTTGCAGTCATCTGGTCATTAGTACTCTCTCTGAGAGTCGTTGAGGCCACTTGGAGGTTTATCTGTGCCCTCAAGGTCACCTAAATAGTGCAAATGGATATGGAGCCTTCTTGGGACTCTGAAAGGACTGTGTTGTAGACAGGAGTTAGCGGGTGTCGTATCCCTCCCTCTCTGTGGAGGGAGGGCTGTTCAATTTTGACATAGATGGCTTCTTTGACCCCTCTTTCAAACCAGCAGCCCTCTCTGTCCAGAATGTGAACTTAATGACTCTCAGAGAGAGTGCTAATGACCAGATGACTGCAATGAATATAAATCCTTCCATCCTCCACCATTCAGTCAGAACTGAAGAAGCTTTTTGAATGAGAAGTGAAACATCTCCAAGGAAAAACAAAGAAAGTCCAGTTGCCTTTTGAAAAAGCAGCTTTGGGACAACCGTGACCTGAATGACTGAGAATCTCCAGAGACAATAAGATATTTCAGAGCTGTTAGAAAGCAACTGAAGATCCAGTTTTCTCTTTTTTTATATAATAAATTTTATTAAGTTTCCAAATTTTAAAAAACATAAAATAAAACTTTATACATTGTTATCAACATCAAGACATCTTTTGTATCTCCTTACATTTTTCAGTATATGTATTTATTGATTCCTTTACCATTACATCTTACTCTTGCTATAAATCAATATCTTTTAGCCTTACACATCAATCTTCTCTATGGTATATTTACATATTTACATATTCCTTCATTCTTTTCCTAATTGCCATTATATTTTCTTTTTATTTCTAAACCACTCATACCAAGCATCCCAGGCCCTATAGTAAATTGAATCTTCTCTGCCTTTTATTTTCATTGTTAGCCTGTCCATCTCTATACAATCTATTATTATTTTTTTAATAACCATGCCATCATTTTTCTCAATAGACAAAATTTGATTAGCTTTTCTCAAACCTGATGCTTTTTAGATACGTTGAACCACCATCAAATGGGAATTTTTGGGATCTGGCTGCAAGTTATGGATGCTCAAGTTGGAGAGCACCATGTTAGGAAAGGTACATTAACTAGGAGAACAAGGTGAGACAGAATTACCTGTATTCCTGGACTACCGCTGTCCCCTTTATCGCCCTTAAGACCCGGCGGTCCCTTGAATAAAAATAAAACAATAAATTTATGACACATATAGTCCCTTACAATACCTCAGCCAGTACATTTTCATTCACTTAATTATCACATTTAATTTCCTGCCTCTTTTTCCTCCAGCAATATCAGACAGTGTACATAGCAATCACTCCCCTGGTTCCTGTCACCAATATCAGCTGGAGAAGCTGGATGGGCTGAAGTCACCCAGTAGCTGAATGGGGACTTCAACCAGGGTTTCCAAGTTCGACATGAGAGTCAGTATGGTCTAGTCTAGTGGCTAGAAACTTGGAAACCATGAGTTCCAGTCCTGCCTTTAAGCATGAAAGCCAGCTGGGTGACTTTGACCCAATCACCAGAGCAAAGAGTTCTAGTCCCACCTTAGACATGAAAGCAGGCTGGGTGACTTTGGGCCAACTCCCCTCTCTCAATCTAACTCACCCGACAGGGTTGTTGTTATGTGGAAAATAGGAGGAGGGAAGTTTTTTGGTTATGTTCTCTACCTTGTGTTATTTGTAAAAATAATAAAGGCGGAATATACATCAATAAAATGTAATTTAAAAAATAAACATCTTAAGCTGTAGCAATTTGCAGTAGAATTTCTGTGGCAACCATGGCAAAAAAAATTGTAATAAAATGGGTCATCAGATGAACTGTTGTAAGTCAAGGTTTACCTGTACTGGAGTGCATAACATTAGATATGTCACTAGAAGGCAAAATCATGAAACGGTGTCTCGCTTATTTGGGTCATGTCATGTGGGGGAATTCACTGGAGAAAGGAATTGTGCTTAGAAGAGTTCATTGTAAAAGGAAACTAGGCTGCCAAAGAACACGATGGCTGGGCACCATCAAAGCCTGCCACCAGCCAGAGCATAGAAAAACTCAAGGAAATAGTGTAAGATAGGACAATGGAAAGACCTGGCCCATAAAATCACCAAGAGTTGGGTACGATTGAATGGATAACATCATCATCATCATCCTAATACTTAAACCAAGTTAGGAAATGGCCAGTTACTGCACATGCACAACATCCCATGGTTTAGCTTTAACCACGTTTATTTTTCCAGTGGTTTAATTATTTCTTTATATTTCGTATTTCTTAACTACCCATCTCCCTCACAGAGGAGCTCTGGGCGATGTACAATAGAATCAATAACAGGAACATTCAAACCAGAATGAATTTAAAAGTAAAAAGTTTTAAACTTTAAAAAAATAACATTATAAAGCGTGCAGGACAAAACCACAAAATCTGGACAGCCTGCTGTTCGATGTGCTGAAATCCAGAAAATTCAGCCATCGGAGTTAAGTGTGTTTTGGAAACAGAAGCAGAAAATATGACCTAAAGGCAACTCCACAGAAATTTGAAATCTGAATGCAGTTTTCTTTGGCTGAAGCCAATCTATTTCCACACTAGAAATTTATAGCATCTTTGGAGTTCTCCAAATACCGTTGTGTGCCAAAACAATACTATTGCAAAAAGGCTTTATATTACTTCAATAATGGCTGGGTGAGACTATGAAGGTACTATAAGTCACCGATGCAGAGCTGGACCGCTAAATGTGAATCCAGAATAAGGAATAATCTCATTAAATTCTTCCTTGTTAAGATATTTAATTTAATATGGTAGCTGGAACAGTAAAGGGGATAATTGGCCAGAACACAAAGTTGTAACTGAGTGGTTGGAGAATGTGGGCTCCTGCATGCAGAATGGGACAACCTGACACAGCCAACTTGCTGCAGCCAACTCACCATGACCAACTTGCCATGGCCAATTTGCCATGGCCAACTCACCATGGTTACCTAGCCGCAGGACAACTCACCACAGCCAACTGTCTGTGGGACAACTTGCTGCGGGACAATTTAACAGTTCTATTTAATTATTTCAATTAGTTGTCTTGCAGCAAGTTGGACATTAAAAATTGACCATGGCAAGTTGGCTGTGGTGAGTTGGCCATGGCAAGTTGGCTGTGGAGAATTGTCATAGACCGCCTGTATGAGGCAATCTACATTATGATTGGTTGCTGGGTATAAAGGGAGAGTTTCCCTTTTTTCCCGCCTTTTTCTTCTGCTTTTTCTTCTCTATGCTGTTCTGTGATTTACCTCATGATGTAATGATCTGCCCGACTAACTTGTTTACTCTAAATACAAATGTAAATATATGTTTATTTATATAAAACTACAAGTTCGTGTCAGCATCTCTGACTCCATTTGGCTGTGCAATTCTCTGACATTCCTTGAGCCAGAAAGTTCATGACCTATGAAATAAAAGCCAGCAAAATTCAGAACTCAGCAGATCGCAAGGGAACAAAGAAGGAAGCTTAGCAGAGCGTGTCCTCTTGTATGAATTACGATTTTATTTATTAGTGTATTCATATCCCACCTTTTATTATTTTTATAAGCAACTCAAGGCATCAAACATATCTAATACTTCCTCTTCCTCCTATTTTTTCCAAAATAACAACCCTGTGAGGTGGGTTAGGCTGAGAAAAGTGGATTAGACTAAAGTAACATCAGTCGGCTTTCGTATTTAAGGTGGAAATTTGAACTCACACTCTCCTAATGATGGGCCAAAGTCATCCAGCTGGTTTTCATACTTAAAACAGAACTAGAACTCCCAGTCTCCTAGTGATTGGCCCAAAGACACCCAGCCCATTTTAATGCTTAAGGTGGGACTAGAACTCACGTTCTCCTGGTGATTGACACAAAGACAACCAGCCCGCTTTGAAGCCTAAGGCAGGACTAGAACTCACAGTCTCCTGGTCATTGGCCCAAGGTGACCCATCTGGTTTTCATTTCTAAGGTAGGACTAGAACTCGCGGTCTCTTGGTTTCTAGCCTTGGACCAAACTGGCTATATAGAGACCTTTTCTCCAAATCTTTCCCAGATTTGCTGAGATTTAAAATATCCTATTTTTTTTTTCAAAAGCCAGGGGTGGGATTCTACCGGTTTGGACCGGTTTGGGCAAACTGGTAGTTCCGGAAATTATTTGGCCCCACACACCTGTCCCTGCTCTTTCCTGTACTTTATTTCCTTGTTTTGGAGCACAGCTGATTTGCGCAGCAGAGCAGTTTTGCTGTGCCTCAGCTGTTTTACTCACCTGGGCTGCAGTAGAAGGTAAGTATTATAGCTGAAAATGGGCTTTTTAAAATGGCGTGCACATGCGCGAAGTGCGTGTTTGGTGTGCACAAAGCGCATGATCATCAAACCGGTTGTTACATCGGTTGAATCACACCACTGTCAAAAGCTATAGCTATGCTCATGTCTGAACTACCCTGTTTCTCCAACAATACGGCCTCCCCCAATAGGAAGTCCCAGCATGTTTTATAGGCATGAAATGAAATTAAGCCCCTCCCCCCAAATTAAGGCCTATATTAAAACATGCGAAATGGGGGGGAATGGTGGGGGGGGCTTGCCGTTAGGAAGTACTTTTGTTGCACACCCGGATATGGTGCTGCCTGCGTTGACCCCAATACGAAGTGCCCCACCAACGCTGAGGTCAACATCCAAGTTTTCGCCGCCCGCCCGCCCGAAGATGCAAGGGGGGGGGGAAATTAAGTCACCCCCGAAAAGACGACCTAGCCATTTTTTCAGGGCTCAAAAAAAAATAAGACCCGGCCTTATTATATGAGAAACACGGTACAATGTTTTAACCTGACCTCAAAGAAAACAAAAATAACTTACAATGGGTCCTTGCACGGTTAATCCTTGCGAACCAGTGATCCCTTGCTGTCCTCCTAGCCCTTTTGGTCCAGCTTGGCCTGGAGGACCTGGTTCCCCCTAAAGAATCAGAGAAAACAAAAAAAATACAGAAAAAAAACATTATCTTGCAGGCCAGAGGTGGTATTCAGCAGGTTCTGACCAGATCTGGAGAACCGGTAGCGGAAATTTTGAGTAGTTTGGAGAACTGGCAAATGCCGCCTCTGACTGGCCCCGCCCCATCTATTCTCTGCCTCCCGAGTCCCAGCTGATCGGCTGGGTCCTCTTTGATTGCCCTGCACAGGAGAATGGAGCTGGAAAGCAGGTTAGTAGGGTGGGGAGGGAATAGGGATTTTGCAGTATATCGTTCCCCTGGAGTGGGGTGAAAATGGAGATTTTACAGTATCCTTCCCATGCCATGCCCACCAAGCCACACCCACCGAACCAGTAGTAAAAATATTTGAATACCACCACTGTTGCAGGCACACCAAACTCTACTAGAGTCTTGATTTGCTAACACCAAATTCAGAGAAGTGGAAGACAAAGGAGCAGAAGGATAAAAGCCATTTTTCAACTCGGATCTTACAAATCCAGCGCACGAATCATTAAGGGTTCTTAGTGCTTGGCTGTTTTCTTGCCGTCTTTACACACACACAAATTGTAGGTTATGCCTATGAGTTTATGGAGAATGTAAAGGATAGAACTTGGCTGAGACAGTCTAATGAAATCACTGCTGAGCTTTGACATAAAGATTTGAGGCACGCACGCCCCCAACTACCTCAATCCCAACTGCTGCCGGACTTAAATGCAAACTACTCAATGCAAGAAGCCTCGTGAATAAAATACCTGAATTTCTCATCCTCTTAAATATGGCTAACTTTGACATTATATTTGTCTGTGAAACATGGCTCAATGCATCTCTCCCCGACTCCATTACCACAGTAAGAGACTATCATGTTTACCGATCAGATCGTGAAAATCGTCGAGGAGGTGGTGTTGCTATATTCTACAAAAAATCCTTACATCTAAAAAATATCCAAGTTACCCAGGAGCTTGCCCTTCCTGAAACCATCATCTGTGAACTATCCTTAAATATCACAATTCGATTCTTACTATGTTACAGAGCACCTGATTATGACATCGAACATATAAACAAGCTAAATACACTACTAACATGGGCTACATCCTGCCCATACCCTTTTATCTTTCTTGGAGATTTCAATCTACCTCATATTGACTGGACCCTAAATAATTGTACAACTGAAATCATACACACTACCTTCTTCAATGCTATTACAAATCTAGGTCTTGAACAACTAGTAACCAACAACACTAGACTGAACAACTGCCTCGATCTCATCTTCTGCAATAGTTTGAATTTAATTTACCGAATACAAACCAAAGAACCCTTTTCCAGTAGTGATCACAATATGATTGACTTTTGCCTCAACATACGTCCACGCAAAAATCACCACAACGATGTCATCCCTAGTTGTAACTTCAAAAAAGGCAATTATGATCTTATAGATAACGATCTCTCATCCCTCGATTGGCAATCTCTATTCACTGGATGCAACACTGTTGAAGATCATTACAACATATTTTTACTTGAAGTCAAAAGAGTCATCAAACTATATGTTCCAACAACAACTCCAAAAACAAAACAAAAAAACAGATTACCCATATCAATAAGGAAACTTCAATCCAAAAAGAGATCACTCTGGCGGAAAAACAAATCTGGTCACGTTGCTAATTTCAAAAACCGATATAAAAATTTATGCCACCAGATAAAGACCGAATGCACCAATTACCACATTAAACAAGAGGAAAACCTTCTAAGCACCAATTCCACCCGTGCTTTTTACAATTTTGTAAACAACAAACTAAAAGACTCAAGGTCCATCCCTCCCTTGATAGGACCTGATGGTAAAGACTGCAGCGACGACACCATTAAAGCCAACATCTTTAACACATTCTTCGGCTCAGTGTTTGTAAACAGTAATGGATCATGCCCAATGTTTCCTAGCCGTACCACAGACAACAATAATGATCTAATACATATCGATTTTACAGTAGACAACGTTGAAAAAGCACTACGCAACCTAAAACCATCTCTATCTATTGGACCGGATGGAATATGTGCCTACTTCTTAAGAAAACTATCCGCTGCCATAGCCAAACCTCTAAGCATAATCTTTGAAAGATCTTTCAGAACCAGCTCCTTGCCCAACCTATGGTTACAAGCCACAGTCATTCCCATCTTCAAAAAGGGAGACCCAAGCCTAGTTGAAAATTACAGACCAATCTCCTTATGCTGCGTCACCTGTAAAGTCATGGAATCAATTATTAACCAATCCATCATCCTCCATTTAGAGACAAACAACCTACTCTCCAATAAACAATTTGGTTTCAGAAAAAAACTATCCTGTAATCTGCAACTCTTACACTGCAAAAACATATGGACTACTCAACTCGACCAGGGCAAAGCAATAGACGCAATCTACATAGACTTCTGCAAAGCCTTTGATTCAGTGGTACACGACAAACTACTCCTAAAAATAAAATCTTATGGTATCTCTGGACAACTGAATAACTGGATAGAAGCATTCCTGTCAAACAGACAACAAATGGTCAAAATTGGGAACGCCCTATCAAATCCAGTACCTGTCAATAGTGGTGTTCCCCAAGGCAGTGTTCTAGGACCAACTCTCTTCATAATCTACATAAACGACCTTTGTGATCATATCAAGAGCAATTGCGTTCTCTTCGCTGATGATGTAAAGCTGTTCAATACCACAGACAATACTACTACCCTTCAAAAAGATCTAGACTATGTATCTGAATGGTCTAACATATGGCAACTCCAAATCTCAACAAATAAATGCTCTGTCTTACATATTGGTAAAAAAAATCAGAAAATAAAATACAAGCTGAATAGTCAAGATCTTGTTGATGACCCAAGCTCTGTAAAGGACCTGGGAATACTCACTTCTAATGATCTAAGTGCTAGAGCTCACTGCAACTACATAGCCAAAAAGGCATTAAGAGTTGTTAACCTAATCCTACGTTGCTTTTTCTCTGGTAATATCTCACTACTAACCAGAGCATACAAAACATTTGCTAGACCAATACTCGAATACAGTTCATCAGTCTGGAATCCTTATCACGTATGTGATATTAACACAATTGAGAAAGTCCAGAAGTATTTCACAAGAAGAGTTCTCCACTCTTCTACCCGTTATAGAATACCTTACGCCACCAGACTCGAAATTCTAAAACTAGAAAACCTCGAATTACGCCGTCTTCGGTCCGACTTAAGCATGGTATATAAAATCATACATTGCAATGTCCTACCTGTCAATGAATACTTCAGCTTTAACCATAACAACACAAGAGCACACAACAGATACAAACTCAAAGTAAACCGCACCAAACTTGATTGCAGGAAATACGACTTCAGCAATAGAGTGGTCAATGTCTGGAATACTCTACCCGACTCTGTAGTCTCTTCCCCAAACCCCAAAAACTTTAACCTTAGACTGTCTACTATTGACCTCACCCCTTTCCTAAGAGGTCTGTAGGGGGCGTGCATAAGCGCACCAACGTGCCTACCGTCCCTGTCCTATTGTTTCTCTTATTCTTTTATTTTTCTTATATGTACCCATTTCATATATTCACAACTATGTATACACTTGTACTTATTATCTTGTAAACAATTGACAAATCAAAATAAATAAATAAAAAAGGTTTAGTTTCTTGACAGATATACTCTTCAGTGATTGAGGATCAAGTTGATGTTACTATATAACCTCCATTTAACAGACCTTAATTTAGTGCAGCTGCTCAGCGATAACTGGTATATTTTTTGTTTGACTCTGATTTCCATTTAATGGACTGATGTCCATTAAATTGAATGTTTCCGCATACTATTGTGAATAACTCAATTGCATGACATACACAATCATTGGAATGTCAGAAATTGATGCAAACAATACAAGTTAATGCAAAGGACATAACATTTAATGCGTGTGGTAGATTTAATTGACACCTGCCCTCACAATTAAATTGAGGGGTTTTGATGCCACAATCCGTTTAACATTGGGCAAATTAATTCTCTGCTAGGTGACTATTTATAACACTCTGCACAAATTATGGTTGCTTCCCTTTTCCCTTTTCTATAAAACGATGATTGAATTCTGCGACCAGAAACCCAAATCTATATTTTGCCATTGCTTCCTCTGCTTCCTTCAGTCACTCTTTGGTACGTGCTGAAGTCATGGTGATGGAGTTTTGACTTTTTCTTTTAAAGCTTTCAACATTGCATATCAAGGTTGTTTGCTATTTCCAGCCACTGATTTATTGCACAAACTCTGGTTCATTCCGGAGGTTTTCACACTGATTTGGGAGGCAGGAAGATGGAAATACACCGTGGGCATAACAAAACAGCATAGCAAAAGTTAGTAATAAAGTCATAGAGAAGCCTTGGACTGGATATACTTGTCTTACTTTTTAAGAACCATTTCTTCTTGGAAAAGGGCTTGAAGGGACCTTGGTAGCAGAGATGGTATTCAGCCGGTTCTGACCCATTCTGGACAACGGTAGTGGAAATTTGGAGTAGTTTGGAGAACCGACAAATCCCACCTCTGACTGGCCCTGCCCCCATCTATTCTCTGCCTCCTGAGTCCCAGCTGATCAGCTGGGTCTTTTGTTGCCCTGCATAGGAGAACAGAACTGGAAAGCAGGTTAGTGGGATGGGAAGGGAATGGGGATTTTGCAGGATCCTTCCCCTGCCATGGGATGGGAAGGGAATGGGGATTTTGCAGGATCCTTCCCCTGCCATGCCCACCAAGCCACGCCCACAGAATCAGTAGTAAAAAAAAAATTTGAATCCCACCACTGCTTGGTAGTCTTCTACTCCAACTCCCTGCTCAAGTAGGAGGCCCTATACCATTCTGGACAAATGGCTGTCCGATCTCTTCTTGGAAAACTCCCGTGATAGAGCGCCCACAACTTCTAGAGGTAAACTATCCCACTGATTAATTGTTCTCACTGGCAGGAAATTTCTAGGTTGGACCTTTATTTACTGATCTTCCATCTGTTACTTCTTGTCCTGTGTCATGGCCCCATCGTATCCCATTTCAGAGGAGGAGGAGGAGGAGGAGTTGGAACTGGGACCATTCAATAAGGATGGCACGTCTCCCCTGGCATGTCTGCAGAGTTCAGGGACTGAGGACAATGTTGTGGTTGCCACAATGCTGCCAGGTTGACCAGCATTGCGGGAGGTGGCCAACCAGACAGGGAGCTGCCTGCCCTTGCAAACACAGGAGGGGATCAGCTGCAGAGAGGCAGTGGGTTTGAGAGGCAGGAAATCCCCTCTGATGAGGAACAGCTGTCCCCCCCACTTGATCCAAGGGCAGGGAGAGTGGAGCTCAGGGAAGCTCAAAGGAGATCTATGAGGCTGCTGGTGAGGAGGCTGCTCTGCTTGAGTTGATTTAAGCAAAGGCCAGGGAAGGATGTCTCTGTCAGGAACAATTGTTTTGCTTCAGCACACATCTTCCCGGCCTTGGGAAAACTGCCCTGTGGATTCTGAATCTTGCTATTGACTCTGGAGCTTACCTTGTGGACTTGCACCTTGTTTATGACTTACGGACTTCCTCCTTGCCTTGTGAATCGGTTCTGGTGACTATTGACAGTTTGTGGTTTTAGGTTGCACTGACTGTGGGTGGCTGCCTTCGGGAAAGTTTGGGGTGGAGCTTTACCAGCCATTGTTGGTCCAGTTGTAGGTCAGGAACAACTGAGCAATAAAGAACTTTAGCGAAGCCTAGATCTGTCTATATGACCTGGATCATAACATCCTGCTCTCTGGGGCTTTGGAGAAGAGGTCAACCCCCTCCTCTCTATGACAACCCCTCAAATATTGGAAGACTGCTATCATATCACCCAAGCCCTTCAATTTGTTAGATTAGACATACCCAGTTCCTGCAACCATTCATCGTATATTTTCGCCTCCGGTCCACTAATCATCTTTGTTGCTCTTCTCTGTAGTTTTTCTAGAGTCTCAACATATATTTTTTTTGTATGCTGACCAAAACTGGATGTAGTATTCCAAGGGTGGTCCTACCAAAGCAGTATAAAGTGGTACTAACCCTTCATGTGATCTTGAAACTAGCCCTCTGTGGCTTTTTTTGCAGCTGCAGCACACTGCGGGCTCATATTTAAGCGGTGATCCACTAGGACGCCTAGATCCCTCTCACAGTTGCTACTGCTGAGACAGGTACCATATATTCTACACCTGTGCATTTGTGGTTTTCTTTTTTTTTTTTTTGCCTGTGTGTTTATCACCACTGAATTACATTTTGTTGCATGAAAGGAGTGCTTGGGGTTCTACCCCCTAAGAGTTCATTGAGGCGTCAACCAAAGTCCTTTCGTGTAGTTCAGGGCTGTCCAATCTTGGCCCCTTTAAGACTTGTGAACTTAAACTCCCAGAATTCCCCAGCCAGTATGGAGAATTGCAGCAATCTTGTCCCATTATATAGCTGAGGGCTCCCCTCCCTGTTATCTGACTGGTCCCTAGGCAGCATTGCTTCCCTCCGTCTCCCAAGGTCATTGAAACATAGCCTTACAAAAGGCAACCACTTTCTGACTCACACAGCAATAATAAAAAGAACGAAAATAGTGTTCCAGTATAATAGATTAATTGGGAATTGTTCCCTTAAGTATATCCCAGTCTCTTCCTACTGTCTTGTCAAATGGAGTAGAAAAAATTCCACTGCAGAAACTTTCTAAAGAGCTGCATATATTGCCTTGTTTAATGGGTCTTTTAGGGGAAATCTGTGGGGTTTTTCCCCCTTTACTTAGTTTGTTAAAAAGAGACAATGAAAATAAGGAACCAGGCCGCAGCATGTTAGGAGGCATCTGAATGACTAATTTAGGTCCAAGAAACCAAAAATATAACCTCAGGATTCTAATCCCTCTTTGAGGTCCTCTAAGGCAAGACTTAAGAGGTTGAAAAAAAAAGTGGTATGCAGAATTTCAGAACAATCTTCCTAAACTGAAGAATATAATTTTTAGGAAACCCAGTGATTTTTATATCTCCATCAGCTTCAGTTCACGAGTTTTGGATGATAAGGAAGAGAATAAGGACTCCGTCTGAATTTAGCAAAATCAATTGTTCCTTCCCAAAGAATATTATTGCAGCCAGCTGGGGAAAGCTATTGTATATTTGAATTATTTCCACCGTGCACAGAAAACAACTACATGCTGGGAAGAATTGGCTGGATCGTACTCCGAGATATGCTGGCGTTGTGTAAACTAAGAATTTATTTTCTAGATTAATACCCATTTTTCCATCAGGAGCTTACATAAGGATCACAGGCTGGGCTGGGAGATAGTGACTGGTGCAAGTATTTATGGAGATTCTCAGTCATCCAAGTCGTGTTTGTCCCAAAGGTGCTTTTTCAAAAGGCAACTGGACTTTGTTTTTCCTTGAAGACATTTCACTTCTCAGCCAAGAAGCTTCTTCAGTTCTGATGGTTAGAACTGACAGTTCTTCAGTCAGAACTGAAGAAGCCTCTTGGATGAGAAGGAATCTGTCTTCAAGGAAAAACAAAGCTCAGTTGCCTTTTGAAAAAGCAACTTTGGGAAAAAAGCAACTTTTGGGTGCAAAGTGAGCTTCCATAACTGTGTAGGGACTTCACTGTGTGACTCCAATATCTTTTGTTAGTCATGGTTTGCTAGGTATCTCGTTTAATGAGTCTTGTTCCATCATAGAACTTAAATGTTTAATCAGTTGAGCCTATCAAGCAAACAAATGAGAATATAAAAAGTGCTTTTTCTGATACAGGTTATATAAAGATTTATCCTATCCTCTAAAAGCTAAAGATATGCAGATGTGGGAGAAGGAGGGGTAGAACCTAGGGGTGGGGATGAAAAGAGGGATAACAGAATAACAGAGTTGGAAGGAGTCCAATTAGAGTCTTCCAGTCCAATGGAACAGAAGTTACCCTCGGAAGTTGTGGGAGCTTCATCACTTGAAACTTTCAAGAAGAGATTGGATTACCATTTGTCAGAAATGGTGCAGGGTCTCCTGCTTGGGCGGCGGGTTGGACTAGATGACGTGCAAGGTCTTTTCCAACTCTGTTAATCTGTTAAAGCAGGAGACCCTACACCATTCTGGACAAATAACTGTCCAATCTCTTCTTAAAATCCTCCAGTAATAGAGCATCCACAACTTCCGAAGGTAAGCTTTTCTACTGATTAATTCTCACTGTCAGGAAATGTCTCTTTAGTTGTAGGTTGGATCCCCAGGCACTTTGGAGAATAAGTTGTCTCCCTCTTCTCTGTGACAGCCTCTCAAATATTGGAAGACTGCTATCATGTCACCCCTAGTCCTTCTCTTCGTTAGACTAGACATACCTCGTTCTTGCATTCATCATATGGTTTAGCCTCCAGTCCCTTAATTATCTTTGTTGCTCTTCTCTGCACTCTTTCCGGAGTCTCAGCATCTTTTTTGTATTGTAGTGACCAAAGTAGGATGCAATATTCCAACTGTGGTCTTACCAAAACAGTATAAGGTGGTACTAATAATCTAGAGTCCCTACATACCCAACCCTTCTTGGGTATCATTGACTTATCTAACTCTAAGCAGATACTAACCATTAACTGAGAAGATACTTAAGCCTGGACTATAGCAATAAATCAGTTTAATTGAACTTTGAACTGGTCTTTTGACCTGACATCAGACACCAGTAGAAGAATTAATAGAAGTGGATGTTGATTGTCTCAAAGGTGCTTTTTCAAAAGGCAACTGGACCATTTTTTCCCTTGAGGAAGAAAGAAGAAAACACCGCTTCTCATCCAAGAGGTTTCATCAGTTCTAGCAGGATGGTGGAGGCAATGGAAATACAGCATTTCTTTGCAGTCATCTTTCCCTCATCTCCACCATCTCCATATCCTTCATATTTCCATATCCTTCATATCTCTGCGTCCTTCATATCTTCATATCTTCGTGTCCTACATATCTTTGCATCCTTCATATCTTCACATCCTTCATAACTTTGTACCCTTCAGATATTCATATCCTTCATATTTTTGTATCCTTCCATCACCTCTACCATTCTGCCAGAACCAATGAAGCTTCTTGGATGAGAAGTGAAACATCTTCTTCTACCTCATCCGGAAAAATATAGTCCAGGCGCCTTTTGAAAAAGCACCTTAGAGACAACTATGACCGGGGTGACTGAGAATCTCCAAGACAATTGGATGTGGGTTGGTTTCAAATTGCCCCACATATTCTCCTGTTCAATAAGTGATTGATTAATTCTGATTTCACACAACTTACCTTGGGGCCAGGCTCCCCCTGTTCTCCCTGGATGCCCCTTCGCCCAGGATTGCCCTGCAGAAGGAAGACAAATCCACAGAATGAGTTCCTAATTTAACGAAAAAAAGGCCTGGATTAAGATAAATGCTATTTATGAATAATTACATCTCAAAGGGACCAACATATTCTCTATTTTCTATTCATAAGAAATGTGAAAGCGAACCTCAACCATCTTGAGAACAGAGTAGAAAAACAGAAGCTTCTGTTGCAAGAAAAGAAGACTTTGCAGATATCAGAAATCAGATTTGGATAACAGCATGAAGTCTATCTCTTGAGTAGTCTAGAATGCTGGCAAAAATGGAAGGAAAGAAGAGAGGATGACAGCCAGCAGCAAAATGGATGGAGTTGATTAAAATATCCATGGGTTTTTGATAAAGGAGAACATCTGTGACTCAGAGTTGAAATGAGGAGACCATTCCCACTAACCCTGACAGGGCAAGCCACTAGAATATAAACTGTGGGCAAATCCCCCCTGCTCACTAGCACTGATGATATCGCCTAGTTTGAGTAATGAAATATCTGCATAAATACAACGAAGAGCAAGAGAGCATCAAGGCCCCCTCAGCAATGGGTGTATTGAAAAATCTGAAGGACTAGCTTGGGGACAGATTGTCCTGGAGAAGGTTTATGTCTATGTAGTAGCTAAGAGCAGACACTGACTACATGGCACTTGATCAATTCATCAAGTATCCTGTTTTGCTTTGATGTCTTGGTGGCACAGTGGTTAAACTCTGCCCACAGCCTGGAGTTCGATCCTGAGGGGCTCCAGGTTGACTTGGCCTTCCATCCTTTTGAGGTCAGTAAAATGAGGACCCAGATAGTTGGGGGCAACATGCAAATAATGCTTCTACATTATAAACCACCCACAGCATGCTATCAAACACTACAGGGCGATATATAAGGCTAAACGCTATTGCTACTGTTTTGTTTTGTTTTGTTTGTGTTTTATTTTTATGCTATCTGTCTATGTTGTAGCGACTCTGGGCAGGTTACAGAATAATAAAAAGTAAAGAAGATTCAGTAGGATCTTGACAGAGCAAGGGATTGGACTAGAAGACCTCCAGGGTCCCTTCCAACTCTATTATTCCGTTATTGACCTGCTGTTGTCAGCACAGGAGAACAGCTGAAAAACTTTGCCTTGGCAAACATCCAACCTCCATTTCCCAACAATGGGAAAGAGCACTCTTAACTCTGCGTGCCTTTATTTTGTCATGCCAGATGCAGAGATCTTTGTTAAACTGTGAGCACGGATATACAAGGGAGAGTGGCTTATTACAGTAATAGGTGGCATGTGTGTCTCCCATTCTAATGGCACAAAGTGCTCCTGACTTCATCAGCCCTCATCTGCATGCGCATCACTTGCAGCCAAAATGGCTAGAAGAAAAGAGAGCCGTCTCAGGCTTTCTATGGACTGGGGAGCGGAAAAAGCAGAAATCCTTCCAGCTTCACTGACTGCAGAAGCAGTCGCCCCTGTCAACACGAGGCCTTTGAGGGTGTTCAGGAGACATTCTCAAACCCTGTTTTTTTTTTTTTTTTAATTTTCTTCTTCTTCTTTTTAATCCTTTGAATTATTGACTCAGCTTAGCCAGAGCTCAACGGAGCCTACTTTGCATTCCCAGCACAGACGCACAACTGGAAAGCGAGCTGACAATAACGCAAGCTTTATTTACCAAGAGTTGAGTCGGGAACAAGGGTCTCCTCTTACTCAGTTGGGCTGTGTGTGTGTGTGTGTGTGTCCGTGTCCTTGTGCCATTGTTTGAAGAAGATCCATTACCCTTAGAGAGATAAAGGGTGCTTGGGGGAAAAAAAGTCTGATTTTCAAAACTGAACACTAGGCAGGGAAATCATTATCGTTATTGTTATCTCTAACATCCATTGTCATACCATAGAATCATAGGGCTGGGAGGGACCTTGGAGGTCTTCCAGTCTAATCCCCTGCCCATGCCCAAAACAGAAGTCCTTATAGGAACATCCCAGACAAATAATTGCCCAATCTTTTCTTGAAAACCATTTGTCAAATCCGTGTATCTACCATTCTTCAATGGAAGAAGAAGGGGGGGAAAAGTTTTGATGTAATCTGATGTAATATCTTAAATCTTGTATTTGAATCTGTATAACTTGTACACGATATATAACTTGGGACTGGAGCCTAGATGCCTGGAAACTTGTCACCTCTTGGAGAGAGAGCAAGAGGAGAAGGGGCCATAAAAATTCCAGCTCCACAACAAGAAACTTCCTGGGAAACTTTTCTCAACTACATTCTCATGAAAAAAAAAAGGTGGGGGGTTAACATGTTGCTTCTTTGTATTGATGAAATCCACATCAAACTAAGGGGAGGGGTTCTAACTCCCTTTATCTATGCTGCATGCCTGGAGGCATATTAGACCCTGCTTTGACTATTACCTGGATAACTTCCTTTTCAATAAAGAATTCCTTTCGAAATACCCAGCTTTCAGAAGTTCATTCTTATCGTTTGAAGGGGAGAGAGTCTGGGCCTTACACCATCAGGGATGGAGCACCCATAACTCCAGGAGCTATTCCATTGATTAATCATTCTCATTGTCAGGAAATTCCTCCTTAATTTCCAGGTTGGATCTCCCTCTGACAAGCTTTTACCCATCGTTTCTTATTCCTGCCCTTAGTTGCTGTGACGAACAAACCGAAGCCCTCTTCCCTGTGGCGGACCTTGAAGAACTGGAAGATGCTGTCATAACATCCCAAGTCCTTCTATTTGTTAGACTTGATATACCTAGTTTCCTAAATTGTCAAATGGTTTAACTTTCAGACCTCTAAACATCTTAGTTGCTCCTCTCTGCACTTTTTCTAGGGCCTCATCATCTTTTTTGTACCATGGAGATTGGTGACCAAAATTAATGTAGTATATTCCAAATGTGGATCTTGAATTAGAATTAGAATTCTTTATTGGCTAAATGTGATTGGACACAGAAGGAATTTGTCTTGGGTGCAAATGCTCTCAGTGTACATAAAAGAAAAGATACATTCGTCAAGAGTCAAGAATCATCAGGTACAACTCTTAATGATAGTCATAGGGTACAATAAGCAATCAAATCATACTGGAAACAGTCAATATAGATCGAATTAGAGTTTCTACATGAAACTTGTTCTGCTTCCTTTGAACTATTTGAAATATATTACTGGGGAATCAATCAATCCTTACATTTCAATCCCAAAAGTGTGTTTTTTTAAAAAGGCAACTGGAGTTTCTTGTGTTTCTTTGAAGATGTTTTGCTTCTCATCTCACAGATAAACCTCCAAGTGGCCTCAACATCTCTCTAAAAGGATGCAAATGACCAGCTGTCTGCAAGGAATATAAATCCTTCCATTCCCCACCATCCTGTCAGAGCCGAAGAAGCTTCTTGGATGAGAAGTGAAAAGTCTTCAAAGAAAAAACAACAGAAAGTGCAGTTGTCTTTTGAAAAAAAAAAAGCAACTTTGGGTGAACATGACCTGGATGATTGAGAATCTCCATAGATGTTTACATTTCAATGTTTGTGAAATTTGTTACCAACTCAAGGATGCCTTCAGCCTTTCACACACAAGACCTCCTGCAAGTCTGAATCAAAAAACCTGTGGCTTTCATTGAAATCCACTCGAGTAACCATCCAATTCTCATCAAAATTTGATTTGATGTTTTAGAGGTCAAGCATACAAAGGACAATCCTGTCTCCAAAGATATCCTGTGTCAGGGCTTTGACAAATCCATCCCCATTCAAATCATAAGTCTCTAGCTGCATCTCTCGGAGTAAAAAAAAAAAAAAGATTTATTAGGAGTGACCATGTCGGCGTTACCTGGGTGCAGCTGACACTACGATACACCATTCATTTCCCCCTTAACTCTGGTCTTTCCCCCACTCCCTGGATATATATTCTCCAATGGGACACATCCATAGCCAAGAGTCATCAGTCATGATCTCCAGTAATAATCTTGCATGCCAACAGCTTCGGCTGCCTAGCAATTATCTGAAGCATTTAAAGAATGCACTACTTTCCCCACTCCCTTTCTACTGGCTACTAAAAAGATCAAAGGAGTATTTTTAGTTGACATCCTGTATTTGAAGGACTATCCAAACATAGTTCTTAAAGACGAAAAGGCATGTTAAAAATGGCCAGTACAGGTATCCTTGACTTACAATCACAACTGAGACCAAAATTTATGTTGCTAAGCGAGATAGTTGTTAAGTGAATCACTGTAGCTGTTAAGTTAGTAACACGGATGTTAAATGAATCTGACTTGACTTTGCTTAACGGAAGCAGAAGTGGTATTCAGCAGGTTCTGAACAGTTCTGGAGAACCAGTAGTGGAAATTTTGAGTAGTTCGGAGAACCAGCAAATCCCACCTCTGACTGGAGATTTTACATTTTCCTTCCCCTACCACGCCCACCAAGCCACGCCCACAGAACCGGTAGTAAAAAAAATTGAATCCCAACATAGATCAGAAGGTAACAAAAGCTGATCACATGACCCTGGGACGTGGCAACTGTCGTACATATTAGTCATTTGCTAAGCATGTGAATTTTGATCATGTTACCATGGAGATGCTGCAACGGCCATATGAAAAATGGTCATAAGTCACTTTTTTCAGTGCAGTTGTAACTTTGAGCAGTCACTTATCAAACTGTTGTAAATCAAGGATTACCTGTAACCAAAGAAGATTAAGGCCACTTCAAAACAACTTGCTTTTCTGTTACCTAAACCTTTTGGCCTTGTAACTTTAAATGAAGCAGATTTAAATAATCCTTTTGACTATACAAGTTCATCAGAAAATGATATTTTTCAGGACACTTATTTATTTCAGTTTTTATGGCTATGCATCTTATTTGTGTGGTTCTGGACAACTTTCAGGTCCATAAATTACACTAACCAGCCTATTAAATAAATCACAACTAAGTTCCCCACCATATGCTAAGTCACAGAAGGCAGCTTATAATGAACATGCAAAATCAAAACAACAAATGTTGTTTAATAGAAGCCCATATGATATCTTACTGGCTTAA